ACGGTGCTCAAAATATCTTGACCAAAATGTATGTGATAATTCAGGTCTCCAAAGCAACTTGCTATCAAGTCAGGCCCAAAAACCGCAATCGATAACCGATAAATAAACCAATGCGAAGCGTTTCCACGAATTCACGAGTTCAGCCACACTACATAAGTTTACTCACCATGCCCAGTAACACATAAACTTACATATATACAGACGTAAATCCGGTGTTACTGGTTGATATACTATATTTTTATACGATTACCAACCATACTTGTTTGTTTTATCATGATCTTGCCTTCGCAGGCAAGACCCGCACTGCCAGGAATAAAATATCATTTATATATTTAATTATTTTTGTCATTCCAAGTGGTTTACGACGAAGTGATCAATGGTCAGTCGATCAGCCAATGAATAATGCACATGTAACACGGGTGCGTAGGCAGAAGAGCCTAACCAACGCTCATTCAGAAAATGAACATGTCTCCGGAACGATGTTAGGATGAAAAGGCTGAGGGAAAAACGATAGAGTATGTCACCATGGTAAGGGTAAATGGCTGGATGAAAGTCCGGGACAGGAAAACAAAGGAATAAAGGACGGCACCTGTGGCACGCTACGGTGGAATCCGACAGACTATAATTTGTCTGTTATACTCACCTTTCTTGCATGCCAAAAACGCAAATGATAATGTTTTCTCTAAATTCAAATTTTAAACTAGCTAATGATACTTGATTTCTAAAGCTACTACAATTTTTAAATACCGTCTTAGTGTTCCATCACCTTGTGAAATACGTGTCAATATAACGTTGGTTATAAGTTGAATACTATGTTACGTAGCAACAATCAGACTGGAATCTCATACCATCGTACTTAATATTATCGACTGCTTATGTTGACTAATAACAAAATCAACAATGCTGTCTTCTAGTATCTACCTTACATATACTTTTATATTCGTCAAATTGTTTATACATTAATAAGCCTTTTCCGGCTTGGGTAAGGGCAACGATGTTTGAGTAAATGGTCTTTTGGAAACTGGTTGCAAACAAACAACGATGATATTAAAATACAGCATTATGGTACGCGTATTTTTCGGTATATCACTTGTGCGTAATATGGTGAAAGTTAAACTGTATATGTTTTAATCATGACGATAACGCACTGGATGACAAGTTTATGCGATGGATGAAGTTAGATTGGTACGTCACAGCTTGTGGTTTTGCCGTATCACAACTTAAAATTAAACAAATAAACTATTGTTAGCATTCGGTGCAAGCAATACCCACAGACAGTTAAGGACGTAAGTTGCATGATTTTTCAAAACAAGTAGAGTGATCAAATATTCTGTGCCGTTAGTTACAATGGCTTGTTTTGTATTATCCTTTATATAACATTTGTTACCTTTTAACTGTGCGCAATCACACACTGGAAATTAGAATATAACACTTAATAGTTTGGTGCTGAACAATTGAGGCTTGGCTGGAAGGCACACAAATACCTCGAACCTTATATAACTTGGAATTTACGCCATTCAAGGAAAGGCAGTTAAATTTCTCAGTATTTTCCATCGAGTTGTGGGTGAAAAATACAAGCCCCTACGCCATTTGTGTGTTTGTGGTAGCAAAGAAATTAAATACTGTATCAACAACACGTTCAAACGGTCTTTTATTTTCCAAGCTATCTTTGCTTGTCACTATGGGGAAGACATGTAAAACCTGTTTTTCGGAAGATTTACTTCACACTTCATTTAGGTTTAGATAATATATGCATAATTTCATGGAGCTAACAACTTTTGTTGTTCTATGTGCTAAAAGTTTTTAATTAATTCAGTCAAAGTTTTGACTTTATAAACCGTCGACAGCTAATCCGATCAGACGATTGCCTACGCCTAAGGCCATCTGACAGACACTATCCTATGCTTCGCACGCGTCGCTCCTCTCCTCTACTATAAAGCTTTCATGATGTCAGCTCGGATGGTGAGAAAGAATTTGCAGTAGAATCGTCACGCACAACGAGTATTCCTACCAAATTCTGCACAACTTGGACTGTCAATATTCAATTCCATGTCAAAACTGAATTTATGTATGAGAGCTCTAAGCACAGAAAGTCTAGTGTGTTCATGACGCAATAGCTATTCTTCATTTGGAAGCCCATGTATGCAAAAGTATCTCCAAGTGAATATGTAATTCTTGCCTGCTGTATGAAGAAGCACAAAGGAAATGTATTCTGAAACTTGTCCCACTATGTTGTTATTGAACACGTTATTACCTACTCATTTGTTTCGATATAGATTAAGGATTAGATGGTGCCATTTATAGCGAGAACCAATGCTGTGATTTCTGAAGTATTTAGTGGAATATACTTTTGACTGCGTAGCGAACTTATTACACGAAAACAGAACTTGGGTGACCCAGTTACGCGTGAAGCCATCTGCTGGAGATTAGTCATAGCCGCAGTATGAACGAGCACCAGCTTAAGCTAGCAAAGCAGTAGAGCCCTTTGGATTGTTGACGAAATTGCTTTAAGTGTTAACAAAGCTAACTTGTCCTACTGGAATATGTCAACCGTGATCCCATGCAGGTAGAGTTAAGAGTTAGAATTTCGCGTACTCTACTTTCGCTGTACGATTTCAATCGATTCATTATCCGTTACCAAATAGGGCGTATGACAGAAACTTCGTCACCAGGGAAAACTTAGAATTATTTCTAGGTAGTTTAGCTATAAAGCAGGCAAACCAGCATAAGATAATGCTTTTAAAAATGCTCCAACTTTTCTCCATTCTAAGGGATTAACAAAAGAACAATAGAATAAACACCTATACCACATTAGATCTATCACTGCAAACTTACGTTTTGCGTATACTTCTTCCAGTGATCGCTGCCGCTTATGTGGACGTAAATTGTTAAGGGGTACATCCGAAAATGTTTTAATTATTATATTAAATAATTAACCGGCCCAACCTCTTGGACAGGTATTGCTACTAAAATAATTCGTTTGTCGTTGTTTACCAAATTTTTCAGTTTGGTGTTCATCACATTCTGTACTTGTAATTAACATTTATTATGAGCGAGACGTCAAAGATTATATGTAAGTTATTTCAATAGGTAATATATGGTAGTGTTCAAAACCTGTTTGTCATTAGCAACCAACTTGTATAATGAGTATAAACCAAAAAATTAAATGTCCCATTATACGACCAATATTGATCTGCAGTTACGCGTGTTTAGAACCCCTTTGATTCTGATAGCATTATAGAGTGCAGGAAATTATGCGGAACAGTTATGTTATCAGATATGCGCAGCTCAGGGGATTTAATTGGGTTCAACTTGTCAGCTGATCCCCATAGTTTCGTTGATAACCCAAGTGACGATATCAGATTGCTATTTGGTGGCGAAGCGAAACTATGTGGAGCATTACTGCGAGTGGGTCGGAAGTTCGTGCGCTTGACTGACGGTCTAAAAAGACTTGCTTGCTATCAGAGGTTGGATAATTCGGCGGGCGACGACTATCGAACAGCATCTATCCGATTACAATTTGAAACCATTGTACATGTACTTCGTAGTTTATGTCGTTCGACAATAAGTTCGTCAAGTTAGTGATCCTCCTTTTGTAATGCTGCTGATAGCTCATTTATATAGACGTATATTTTACTTTAATCACCCTGCTGGCTTCGAACTTCTAGGCTCTAGTATACGTTTTTCTCAAAGTGGAACTAGTGTCACTTCTGATCGTAATGGCGGCAAAAAAGGAAGGTGCACATTATCATTCATTTGGAGATCCGTATTAAACGGTTCCTTCACGTTCTTCTTAAAAGTTGTCAATCAAATTTTTTGCAAGGTTATCGCATTTGACATCGTTCTGACTATTTGTTTAAATGTTACTTTGGTAATGTAAGACATCTACTCACGGTACCATTTAACTTGTTGGCTACCAAGTTTACGTGTTTTGGTGACGGTTTTGTTAGTAGATGAGAAAAGATCCTCTTTTACGGAATCACTACACTAATTGTTCTCCTTGTTGTAGCGGAAAGTTATTTTGTCACCGTTGTTTCCAATATCCGTTGGTAATGTCTATTCCGTCTAAATGTCTCTTATTAGAGCTGCCTAAATCCAATAAAATTTAGGTGGGTCACCAGAATAATGACGAGGATAAAAGAAACTCATATGCATACGCGAGTGTGCAGCAAATGAAAAGACCCAATGAATTAGCGAATATAACTTATGATGATGGCAATAACAAGCCGTCCATTCTGAAAATCTATATTTAGCAACATTGTCGTCACAGCCAGTAAAAATAGTGATATCAAGAAATTAATAACAATTGTGAATAATATCCACTCCTATTGTTAACACAGCAGGCGCTTTGTTGCGCGTATTAGAAGCGGTATTGAAAGCTTTTAGGATGGTATAGAATGGAAATCCATTTAAACTCGGCTGCTTATTCAAATAGGGTTATCCTCAAGAATAAATATAGCATAATCGATATCAAAAATATACTATATATTTATTCATAAGACACCAGGTGACATTATACTAGTGCCAAAAAGCTATCATGAATTGCTTACAATACAGTATGGCACATTTTGTTACTTTTCAAATGTTATCTTTGCCATATTTGCGCAAATAAAAGACAGAGAAAAAGACAGAATGTCACTTTAACATCAGGTAATAATATATTAGCGCGCTTCACAATACCGTACTTTAGAACAGGAACAACTGGTGCTGAAAATTATACGAGATGTAGAAAAACATAAGTAACTTTATGCATAACATTTGGAGAGATACACACTGTAAAACAAGCAAAACATTATTTTCTTCAACAAAACCTAGTTACCGATCGCTGCGGACCTAGCAGTATATTCAGAATTGGGAACCGACTAGTAAGTTGATGATATTATTCAATATGCTATGTTGGTTGTTACAATTGATAGTAAAAGTGCACTTGTGGTGTAATAGTTTATGAATCTCAAAAACTAAATACGTTTGTTTGTATACTTCTGTTTTGTGGGACTTACCATAATTGCCTCAACGTCCACAACAGCTCCCCTTCGGCCAATGCCACCCAAAGCTGGATACGTGTTGGGAGCTTGGCGTCTGACGTTACGGCGTGAATATCTATGGTTAGCAATATCTGGTGAAAAGGTTTCTTCCGAATAGAGACTAGTTTCCTCATTCTTCTCTTTGTTGTCTATAACTTCCATACTCAGCTCTTCAGCGAATAGTAGGGTTACGTAATTTTACATGTAATTGTACAATACATTACGGGATGATTATCCGGAACAACAACGGAATCCATTGAGTTTAGTGCATGAAATCTGAATATCATTTACAGGAGTTACTTCCACCTATTCCGCTGCAGCATTTAAAATGTCTGACACAGAACCAGCCCATTGGTAAATCGTAGCTAGGTACTTGTTTCGTCCTTGAGCGTAACATGGGTAACACCCAATCAAAACAAACTTGAGGAACGACTAAGTTGTCTGTTTGCGCATTATGAGGTATAGACAACCACATAGTACATATATTCCTAAATCAGTGTAAATATTACCAAGTCTATGGATTTATTACTTCGGTAAAAGCGCAAGTTATTTGGTGCAGGTTTTTCTGTCAAAGAACGAGTGACCGCTTCCATTAAATTAGACTTAGCACAAATGTCGAATTATCCCAAGAAAACAGCTAAAAATATAAACCCAATTAAACAAAAACTAGAGCTCGACCACAAAAACATTTTTAACGATTATACGTACCGTTTATTCGCTGCTTGTGAAATCAATAACCTTCTTGTTTGGTAACTATCAAAGGTTTCCTCCACCTTGGTAACAAAATATATAGAAGAAGGTACGCAGGCGCTGGCACTAGAACAGCAGCTGCTGGAATAAGAATACTAAAGCAGGATTAATTATATGCTTCAGGTGTCTGCATGAAGCTGCAAGAAATCTGGTTTTGTATTAATGCCAGTAAATATACCCAGATAAACGCACGGTCAACTAATGCAAATGTATTGTGTAGAGAGCGCGGTTCATCTTGAACTTTTCAAAAGGTACTAGCACTTTAGCAAAGTGATTGCCGTCAAAAACTGGGGATAATAATACCGTGGAATGAAGCTAGAAATCTGGTGTTACCAACCTCAAAACACTGCACTCCGTCGTAAGTTTCGACCTTATTTGGCATTATCAGGTATATATGACGGGCGACGAACTCCAATACGGTTGAATATTAATTAGAAGTATCACTAATTTAAATAGCAGGTTGCGGCAGGCAACGCATTTCACAACCCTTAACGACTGACAGTACCTCATTCTAAGCTGCATATTGTGTGCTTCGATTAAATCGCGCAACATTATGTAGACAATGATCAAGATTAATCAATATTCACTTCAAGTTGAAAGGCGATCTATATTGCTTTCGTGAGTAGCACTAACAGCACACAGCAAGTACTCCGAAATAACTCTCTTAAATACAGCATGGCGCATTTAGTTAGACCACCTTGCAGTATGGATCAAACATGTCAGCTGGATAGATGGAAAGGGCGACGTCCTTAAGTGCCACCAAAATGCTCAAGCTAGCATAAACAATTACTTTTGTTCCACTTCAATAACAAGGAATAACATTCCTTTCGTATAATGTGTAGATTGTGCCTTAAATAAATATCATTAACAACAAAGAGAGTCCATGTAAATTTGCATTAGGCATGCTTTCATTGATCCCTTACAATGCGTTCCAAACAACTGCTTATTCAGCAGCAATTGGTTGCTCGTTACTGACTCGAATTTGGGTATAGTTGCTCTCTGCCTAAGTCAGGTATGTATAGATAATAAGCACACAATTGTCTGTGAAGCTGGAGAACGCTCTAATTGATTTGCTAGGTCGAAATTCTTCTTCTTCGTTCCGCGGTTACGTGTAGCCTGACAATCTGCCACTGATAATATACTACAATATGAAGCAACTATCTGTGGTATTCATTCTATGTCTTTGTTCTGCTATTATTGTTGTCTTGCTGTGCAAGAGGTATTATTGAAGAAAAATATTGTAGTTGACCAAGACATGTCAGGCTGCACGTAACGGAAAGCTGTATTCGGAGTGCCATTGTGAGCATAATGTTAGGTTTACCGAGGCTGTGCACCTCTTTTTGCAAATAGATATTACCCTGAAAATCAACCTAGTGGCGGAAATATCAGGAAACATGTTGAGCATTAGTTACTCCATAACATATTCATAAATATCAGCAATGGGACGAAACCTGTATATTTTATTTTTGACATGGTATTCTGTTTCCGTCCTTTAAACCGTGAGTTCTAATGTCAAGATCTTTTGGGTTGATGCGAAATGAAGCCAAACAAATTTGGATAACGCTATCATTGTTGTCTAACTCGCGTACGCAAACAATTTGGACAATTCTTTGCTGATTTTTGTAGTCGTTACGAAAATATAAATTTGCCACGTTAAGTAGTTCAATCGGACGAAACATATTGCAACGTTATCTGTAACCCAACACCGAAAGATATAAAGTGCTTTGCCTTTATGATCGGTTATTCACCTTCTCCCTATCAGTGGGCCTTAATTTACAGTAAAAATACTTCATGGTGATAAAAGTGTAATAGGTTGCGTCTTTACATAAATCGCTCTGGCAGTTTATTGATTAAATAAATTACATATGCCCAAGTTTGGGGCACATGAGCACATTTGTGGAGGAATTTGTTTTTTAGGTTGCCAAGCTCAGCCCAAAAGTTGTTGAATTGAAACGGTTTATTCGTTAGCAATATTAAGCAGGATTTTGTAACTAATCCAATTTCGCTCCACATAGAGCTAAGTAAAAGCGTGTTATTTTAACTGATTGCCTTTATGCAGAATTCGGGCACGGTTAAATAAATACTGAGTGATGACTGTTACATTGTTACAACATTGGCATTCATGATACCTTTCGGGCATTAAAAACACACCTAACGTACCTGCAGTTGAGGTAAGTTGGAGAGAAACACATGAATTCTCTTAGTTCTGATACACGTCTGTCATTGTCATGGGTTTATCATGAACATACCAAGCAGTGCGCTATATTTTTGGTACGTGTGTATGCTGCGACAAATTTGGACGAATTTCGGATGTGCAAACGTTTATTTAGAATTGAATCGTCGGGTTGTATTATTCGTGATTCTGAGGTGCTGGTAAAAAATATGTCAGTAAACCTCAGCTGGCATGGTTAGTGTGTCTCTCTAGTCTCAAAGAAAAAACACGTTTCTTGTTAGGTTACATTACAAATACTTGAACATGATAGCAATTTCACGGTACCAAAAAGTTCCGCAGGAAGCCTCCTACCATTTTTTAATCCTACATGGTTTATGCCCAGTGTTGATTAAAGAAAACCATCTAGGTGATAGCGTCAGAAACCGTCGAACATTTCCATTCTCCTCTAAAGACAGTGATACGTAGTCCGCGATTAAGTGATTTTCCTAAGTTTACTGTTGTCAGATGAAAAGTACGAACCTTAAACAACTGTCATTAGACAATACTGTCTGGTCAACATTAGTTCACGTTTTCATAAGGCGTTAAAAGCTACTTAACAACGAGGGTAAGTATATGATGCATCGTATGTCCGTTGAATCTTAGAAGTGCCTTAGGTGTGATTATCTCTATTTTGGTTGATCATAATAAACCTACCAGGCGCCTGTTCCTCTCGATACGGATAAGGGCCACTTTTGTTCATAAATGGTCTGTATATTCATAAACTTTTAACATTTATTACGCAAATACATTTAGAATAAAGCGACAAAATTTTGTAGCATACATAGGCGTATGTCTTTAATTTCCATATTGTAAATGCATCTTTAGAAGATTAAATTGTTTTAACAACAAATTCATGATATGCACAGACGCATGTACAAATTGCGTATGCTACGGAATACTAAATAGAGAGAAAAGGCAGTGAAGGGAGATGCTTCTGCGTATACACATCTAAAATCTTTTAAGTAAATCTACTTATTATTAAGTGATTTTTCTCGAAGTCTTAAGTCCACAAATTTTGAATCCAGGATTTTCTTAAACCCCGTAGCAAACTTTGTTTCAGTATTGTCTGCAGGCACGGTGTTCAAATTGTAGACTGTTTGATATCTGCACCAAAACGTGCAAAAATATAACAAGTATATACCATTTTAACCTGCAAATCAAATATGAATGTTTCTTTCAGAAGTGACATGTAGAGTTATTGTGCAACGCTACCTCTGGTCTTCAGGTACGCTAGCAAATGTGGCTGGTTAGATTTATAGACTTCAAAATAACTATCCTTTAAGCAGTATCGAAAAAGACATATGCCTGCGACCCACCGGCAGGTTACAATTCCAACTATAACATATAAGTTAATGATTTCTTGCAGGTAAATGCGCGCAACTGAGCAATTTCTTAAAAACTGATTCCTTATTTAAAAATGACATTTTGTATCAGAGGTCTTCTGTTTGGAAAGTTGGCGCATTATGTCACAGTAATACGAAAGATGGCACTTGTTAATGTCTTTCATGCTATGCTTCATATAAACTGTGTGAATTTTTATTAACCAAATATTCGGACATAAACTTAGGATTTAGCACATTTAAGTATTGCTGCGTACGTTTGAAATTTAGGTAGAATTGCGTCTCACGGGCCATCTGTTGCCAAGTATATAAGAAAAATGTTTCCAGGTGAAAACACTCTATATGTATAATTTGTGACATGCATGAACAACACATAATAATATTTTAACGCAAGGAAATAATATGAAAATTTAGAATTCTAAAACGATTATTTTTTACCTCTATTTTGTATGTGCTGTCAACTAATATCTGATAAAGCAACACAAATATGGTACCTAAAATAATTCAAATAAAAGACTGCGTTTCCATGCCAAATTTGCAAACATGGATATGTATACAGCAAGGAAGTTGTAATACCTGAGAGGCGCGAAATTGCGTAGCGTTCATATTTGATAAACATTAGCAACAAATGTGCGAACCGCAACAGTTTGCGCATCTAACATAAATCATTGTCAAAAGCTTCTAAGGCCCCTTACATATGAACACACACATATGAACTATAAAGTTGTCTGTTTTGAAACATTTAATATGACCAAACAATCAGGGCCGATGAATAAAAATATTGACTCGGCACTGAGCCGAGGGCGTTAAATATATGTGTGACGTTTAAGTGATTGCATGGAATTGTAAGAGTTCCACGT